GTTCACGTGCGAGTGGAAACGCGCAACGCGAAGAATGCGCGCTCATTGAGAGAAGGAGGTGGGGGTGGAGGACAAGGAGGACAAGGAGGACGAGGAGGATGAAGAGGAGAAAGAGAAGGAGGAGGACCTAGGGCTTCCACAGCGTAATATGTCGCATAACGCGCCGTAATACTACACCAGACGACGACGAAGAAGAGTGCCAGGTTGTAACCCAATAGGAGCCGTGTTGGGCACACTTGTGGCATGCGCCAGCTTCACTCTTTCCCTCTCGCTTCTACTATTCTCTCTTTCTCTATCTCTCTCTCTCTCTCTATCTCTCTCTCTCTCTGTCTCTGTTTCGATCCACAAACGTTCTCGAATACGGCTCGACCGCGCGTCACGCTCGACGAATAAATATACGATCTAATTTCTCTGATTGTATCAACGGGTATACACATCGACAACGAAAATTCTAAAAATAATTTCTCTCAGAAAGAGAGAAAAGGAGAGAGGGAGGAGAGAGAGAGAGAGAGAGAGATAAAGTTTCTCCTTCGGTGGTTTTTTATTTTCTTTTCTCTTTTTTTTTTTTTTTTTTATTTTGTTTTTATGGAAGAACGTGCTTTCTCTACTGAGAGAATCTTTTTGGATATTCATCGGTAAAAATCTGAGAACATTTGACGAGTCACGTTTGATCATATATAAGACTTGCAACCTTTCGTGATATCTCATTGCGATAAGAGAGCGGTAATGAGAGTCTGGTAACTTGATCGAAAGCATTCAACGTCCGCATAAAAATTATATATATATATATATATATATACGTATCTATGATTAATATAATTAATATAATTAATAAAAATTCAGAAAAATTTCGAATATTTCAACGAATGAATTATAATTTAAAGATCTTTTCGCCATTGTCATTGATAAACACACATACTCGAATCATTCCTCATCAATTACGATACATATATAATATCATTGAACGATATTTTTTTCATTTTCTTTTTTTCCTTTTTTCTTGTTTTTTTTTTTTTTTTTCGTTTCGTTCCAGACAAGTTCGAATCCGACGATCGAACGAAAATCATATACGAAAGATTCTTCGAGGCGAGAGTGGACGCGTGGCAAGTTTTACTCTTTTAGCACGTGACGATTGCTAAAGTAAGTGGCCGTCTTAAGTCAAAAGCCGAGCACAGGTGTGCGAGCGTAATCGCGATGTCACGGCCGAGTCACGGCCGAATCACGAATCCCGCCCCCTTCCCTTTACGTCCCCCTTCCCCCTCTGTCTCTTCTTCGTTCCACGACCTCTCTCCCTCTGCATCCCCGCAACTCCTCTTCCTTCTCTTTGATCATTCCTTTCTTTCCCTTTTTTTTCCCTTCCTTCTCCCTCGTCTCTCGCTTCCTTTTTCTCCCCCACTCCTTCACACGGTTACTCCTACCCCGCCCACCCCCTTCCGGCCCCCTCCACCCCCATCCCCCACCGTCCGCCCCATCACAGAACGAACCCGTTTACGCGCAGAGCCTTGGACCTTTCTTACAGCCACCGTAATATCTTGTTTTATCTGCCCACTTTCTGAAAGTTGTTCATTACTTTCTTGTTGACCCGGAGGCTGCCTCCATCCAGCTATATAACTTCTTTCTACCTGTTTCTATCTTCGTCGTTGAACTTGACCGATCATGATGGAAGCACCGATCATGTTACTTTAACCCTTTAAGATCTATCGTGAATAGAGGGAAAAGAGGAAGAAAAAGGAAAGGAAGAAAAAAATGAACAAAAATGAAAACCAGAAGAACAAAGAAAAAAAAAGGGAAGAAAAGGAAAATCACGTTGATGCCTATCGCCTGAGTGAAATTGCGTCATAATTGGTGTATCTTTTTTCTTTTTTTTTTCGTTATCTAAATAAAAAAGAAAAAAAAAAAGAAAAAAAAGGAAAAGGAAAGAAATTCTGTTATATCGTGAGAAAAAAAAGTAGAGGTACTCGAATGAAAATGACATAAAGAAATAGAAAAACGAAAAGGAACGAAAAGGATTGAATTTTCAACAATGATTTAATTGCGAATGATCGTAGCTATGAGTAAAAAAAAAAAAGGAAAAAAGAAAACAAGAAAAGAAAAAAGATATTATTTCACTTTCGATATTCAAGATATCTCTTTTTTCATTTGCATGATACACCGATAATAGTAAATACGTTTCCATTATAAATGTCTGAATATGACGATAATTCTTTAATCGTCATAAAATCATATCAAAATAGAAAATAGAAAATTTCCTTTTTCGAGAAATAATATAATTTTCTTTAAGAAGTAAGACGTTAAAGAAGAACGCGCGAGCGTACGTTAGATGAATAAAGTGTGGTCCGATGATGCGGCAGAAGCAGTGGCAGTCGTTCCGGAGACGGTAGTGGCTACCGACGACTCCTCTCCTTCAGGGGTGGATGACTCCGGGGTCGGCTCGCTCGGTAGGTCTCTCGACGTGCAGCTACTGTTCGCCACATGGCCTTCCACCTCTCTCTGTCTCTGT